CTCGAATCCGGGTCGGTAACAGCTGGAATCGAGTCCTATTTCAAGGAATCGAGTACCCGGAAAGGGAGAGAACTCAGTAATGACAAGGGCAGGTAACTCTAACCTAGAGCAATATGGACGACACGCATGCTAAGTTGAGTGTTTGGGCTCAATTTGAGCTTGATGCAAATGGCAAGAGAACCAAATGCCGACTCTGTGGTATCATGTCTGAAATTGATAGTACAGTCTGCTTATGGTTTTGAGATTTATCAGTGTTAGACCCTGCAAGTGAATTCTACTGAAGTGGTGAAGGTGTGGGACTTGCGCTACTCCTGGGCTTCATCCCTTATGAAGCTGACACGCCAAGATCAGGATATACTTAATCTCATAATTTAACACAGTTACAAATTTGAAGACCCATACGGTTTTTCAATCTAATATGTCAATCTACTGCGGAAGCTGTACAAGGTCAATGCAAAACATCTTGCACTAAAACACAACCTAAACAATAAACGTGTTCATTACATTGTGTACTTGTGTTCATTGCTTATCAAGCTTTTAAGATTACATGTACATTTCTATTTTATTTCAATTTCATGAAACACAGTTTTACATTTGCGTTTAACATGAATACATTGACTATTAAAGAGATTGCAATTAAATGATTGAATGTGTTGGGAATATAAATTAAAACTAAGGAATTAACATTCTGATTTGCAAATACAATGTTCGACTGGTTATCATTACAATAAGAAGGAAGATGATCAGAAATAGAAGCAGAACTCACGTAACATATACATTTTATAGTTTAACAAATATTAATCAGCATACAGTTATTCCAATGAAGAGAGATACAATTTTAGAATATCGATTTAACAATAGTTTTGTTTTTCATTTAATAGGGAAACTGTAATGCAACTGAGTTGCGCAACAGAGCAAAATGACCAGTCTTCCCAGATGCGAGCCAAGCATTTTGCTATATTGCTTAACTCAGTTGCATTAGAGTTTGCCTGTCTGTATATCTCGTACACAATTCTCCGGTCAGTAAATACATCAATCAAATTGTATTCTATGCAAGTTTACATAAAGTCTGCATGTAAAACATTATATGTTCAGTTAGAATATCACACATGAACGTAGTTGTCCACTGGCTGAATGAATAACTGGTCTTTTTCATTATTAACGTAACACACATTTTTTGCATTGTCCAGTTAATGGAGGTTATTATCAACGACGGTAATTTATCTGCGCATGAGCAGTGAGAAGTCAAATCACAGTAACAGCGGGAATGAAAACTTCTGTGTTTTAACAAATGTTTTGTGTTTTAAGTAACAATGTAAGTAATGGTGTTACTCTTTATATTAGTTATAAACAGACGTAAATCAAATAGCCTAAGATCAGTTCCAATGTCCCATTGCCATCCTTTGAGGTTTGGTCAAATCGTGATTGAATATTCAGAAAGTTGACTGAAGCTATGTATTCCTTACATTTCCGGGTACTCGATTCCGATTCGGGTAAGTACATGCGGGTACTCGATTCCAATTTTTCCTACCCGTCCCAGCCCTAAAATCAACTCTCTCCTTAGTGGAAGCCCTCTATGCGTCAAAGAACGAACTGCCACTTTTCACGTGCGTTGTATGCGTGTAAACCCGTATGTCTCCATTACTTCACCAAATGAAATAACTCGCACGTGCTTTGTACCCGTGTTAACCCGTATGTCTCCATTACGTCAGCAAATGTCATACCTTGCACGTTTGGTTTGTTTAAACCCGTATGTCTCCATTACTTTAATAATGGTATAAAATGCACGTGATTTTGTGCGCGAAAACCCGTATGTCTCCATTACTTGAACCACGTGTCAGAAGACAGTCGTAAGGATGGACATCGGTAGCTCAGATGATGATGGAATGTTTTTGACCCAGTCAACATACACAACGCAATATCCGGATATATCTTCAGATGAAACTGCTGATAAAATTTTTGTTGGTGACGTTTTGGAGGGTTTTGGTGACAAAATCACTCAGTCGGATGACGAGTTAGTGGCATCTTGTATAGTCGCTGAGAAGCAATCAACGTATGAAACTACGTATGAAACTGACAAGAAGGGAGGGAACACGTCGGAGACGTCGGTTACCCACAGTGGCAGTCGTTTTCACGAGCCCGTTCCTGACAACATACTGAATGATCTACAAACCAAAAAGTAAGTACACGTTCATTTCGGATGTTTACTTTAAAATGATAATTCTAGAATTGTTTTGAGAATTTAAAGTAACGCGCACGGTAAACTTTGACATTTGTACTGGATTTGTTTTGTATGCTTTCTCCGAACATGAAATGGAATTGGCATTTATATAATGATGGTGTTACAATAATTATTACGTTAAATCTTACTCGTCTCTTAGAGATTTTCAGAAAGCTTCAGAGATGTTACAATAACATGTACAGATTCGTTTTGTTAATTCTGTTAGCGATTGTGTTTAACATTTATGACCGTTCTCAGTTTATTGTCTTTGGACACTTTGGAGTATTTAAAGTTGAAGTTTAGCTTATAGCAGTTTATGATATCATATACTCTATATCTTATCAGTTGACTTTTGACCTTTCAGGTTTGCCGACATCACAGTATCAAAAATGAAATGGGCTACAATTTTATTCAGAGAATATATATACTATTTCCAGATTTGTCTGTGAGGTGATGAAGACGGACGGCACTGATTTCACGTCCGACACGTTATATGGACTTGTGATCTGTCTCCAATTACACATGGACAGCATTGGCAAAGCCTACAAGTTGACGCTGATGACGCTTTTTTGCCAATAAAGAACACCCAGGATAGCATGATGAAACGTCGCGCTAAGGATCCATCCAGTAAACCAGCGGTTCAAGCCGAAGTGATCACGCCAGAGGAAGAGGAAGTTCTATGGGCAAAAGGTGTTCTTGGGAGTGATAAGCCTAAGCAATTATTGGACACTATTTTCTACTTGGTTGGGATTAATTTCGCCCTAAGGGGTGGCCAGGAACACCGAAATTTGCGCGTCGGAAGGACTTCTCAGTTTCCGTTATCGTCTGATCAACACGGACGTGTTCTGATCTATACTGAGGACGTCTTATCCAAGTCCAATCAGGGGGGCCTAAGCATCGGAAGTGTAAATCTGTGAGGGCCTATGAGAACGTTGACAAGCCAGACAGGTGTTTGGTTGAACTCTTTGAAAAATATTTAACCCATAGACCCCCCCCAAAAAAAACAACAACAAACAAACAAACAGACAGTGACCCCTTCTACTTGCGACCATTACGAAATCCAGTGGGCGACGTATGGTACAGCAGTCAAGCAGTTGGCCGCCACAGTCTAGCTGCTACGGTGTCTGATATTTGCCAAAGAGCTGGATTGACCGGACACGGGACCAACCACTCACTACGCGCCACAGCCGCCACTCTAGACTAACGTTTAGTCCCTGAATACATATAAATTTGATAGTAGCCAATAAACCCATTTAAATTGAAAAAGAGCCCCATTGAGACCAGAGATTCAGGACAAAATCAAAATAAACGATAAAGTGTAAAGTTATGTTTTTTCTAATTTAGTAATGAGTAATATTCAATGTTAGTAATGGTGACTTTTCTCAGGGAAAGTCTCCATTACTGAAAGGTAATGGACAGATTTGCAATGACCAAGCAGAGCAGGTGTATTTTAAGTAAAAATGAAAATATAACAGAAAAAGGCACGGGCATGTTATGACATGTCACAAATGGAAAAAAATCGCCATATTTTTTGCTTCTTTCGTGGTTTATCTGGACATTATAAATGTAAGCTTGCATTTTCATTACAAAAATAAATTTATTTAAGTTGTAGTTGTATTATTTGAATAACATTATAAAAATAAACTTCATATTTATCAACAGTGGGATTAGATCTTTTAAATGGTGTATGAGATGTAGTAGCAATAACGTTTTACATGCTTATAATTTCCTTCATAAACATAGCCTTCATCTATGACCTTAGAGACTCAGTGTCATAGCAGTAAATGTCTCTGGTTGACTGGTGTTGAAAGAGTTAAGTAAACAATAACGCACCCCCAACGGGAGTTATAGTGGGTCAGATCAAGCCATATCTCCTAGCAGATATGGCTACAAAGACATAGCACCATAATGTTTTCCCCGCCCACTGTGACATCATGGGTTACTATGACATCACAATGTAATGGCATCACTAATCGCTATCTTAACTTTCATTACGACACTTTAAATCTTTCTATCATTCAACTGACGAGTTGATGACGCACATCAAGAGTTCATTAGATGTAACTGCACAAGTCTTCACTAAAATTGCTATATATTTATCATTTGCTGGTTGGAAGCAGGGGAGCTGGTGGCGGTTTTTTTTAAAGGATAAATTCCCCATAAGAATAATTGTTCATATATTCTGTATGTGTTTGTTCGGGTATTTTCCAGAAATACGTTAATTGTGAATTATTATTTTCCACAGTAGTTTCTATTGTTTTAGAATAATAAAATCTAGGAAATCACAGTATCATAAATGTTTATAGCTTCTTGCATGGTCATTTATCTCTAGAGTTAATGTTGTGGGGGTAATGTGTCGACTTGCTAAAATTACGACCAAGTGAATTTTACTAGATCTATTTGATTTAAATGTTTTTCGAAAAATTGTTTGTCGTGGTTTTATAAGTTGATTATTATATGTATCTTGAAATCAAATTCACCATAACAATGACCATGGAAAACGGTCAGCAACATCACATTTTCCTTTAAATGCAACCACAATCAAAATGAACATCTCGATCTCGATAGTTTAACAGAAATATAATTCAACCTATGTCGTGAAAACAAATCTAATGAATATTTACATAAATGCCAATCTAGCCAGCATCAGCATCAGCATCAGCATCAGTATCAGGACTCAATATTAAACATATAGGAGAGAAACGTATTACGTAACAAACAAATTGCCCACATGAAAAACGTAACCAGGACTTCCGGAAGTGACGTTACGTTATTTTTAGAACGGGGAACCGCGAGCAAAATGGCCACATTACAAGTGTGTCGGCGGTTGTTGTCGCGGGTTGCCTTGAAGACATCAGCTCCAGTGACAGTTAACCCAAAGAGATACTTGAGGGTAAGTAGTTGTCATGTGTCTAGAAGAAAGTATGTTGAAAAGGAAGTGTTTGTTGAGCATGACTGTGACACAGAAAGTTTGAAATCAGTTTGCGTTCCTCATACACTTCTGTGGACATTGCTGCGGTAGGGTCACGCATGGCTGATGCTGGGGCTCTTTAGGTCAAAATAGAGAACTAGGCCTATCGGTTCAAAATGTGTGGCAGCCTCTAGGTTGAATGGTGGGAGAATAATAGCATATTGGAAGTGATATATTTATCTTTTGTGTCAATCTAAGCGTCTAGGAGCATTTCTGTGAGAGATTGGAAATCATTTAACACCTCTTTGTCTGATAATTGAACAGTTATTATGTACACAGTTAATAAATATGGAAAATTAGTTTTACAGACAATGTTCAGTTTGGCACAAGGCTATCTGAACAACATCCCAGGATTAGATGCATTTGGCAATATCGATCATTTGTCCTTCAGTCCAAGACAAGTGAAAAGGAAGATGGATAACTTAAAAATTATTTCCCCCAAATCTAGATTTTATAAACAAAATCACATGTATGAAATATAATAGTGAAGGTCTATGCTGACTTGGAAGTATAAGTCTTTCAAACTTATATACGAATATTGATTATCAAAATACATGTATATGAATTTCATTATGTTTATAAAAACTGTTGTTGAATGTTATATCATATACTGTTGATATGTTTATGCAAATCAGGAAAGCTGTTGCATAATTTATTATGTTTAATAATTTCTTGTAGACAGGATTTATGGTGTCAATATATAGGTCATTTCTATAAACATTCACTGGGGAAAGTGACAGAAGAATGGTTTATTGCAGTAGTATTTCACCTAAGCAGAGACCATGTGTACATTTTATATCTATATATATGCAATATGGGATGTAATTGTTGAATTCAGAACATAACACCTATGGATTTCAGTTTTGGTTTAGGTTTGGGATAACATGTGAAAGTATATTGATTGGCCTAAAAGCAATATATATGTATTATCACTGTCCAGTTAGCCATTGTCTGAAATGTGAATACTTTAGCTATGTTCTAACAATGCAGGTGTGTGTTATCTGTTTCAGATATTGTATTCCATGTGTAACTTTTGTGCTGCAGGCCGGTGACAGGTTGCCAGATGTGGAGGTATATGGAGCCACACCGAATGATGCCATCAACCCTGCTGAGTTGTATAAAGGAAAACGAGGCGTGTTATTTTCAGTAGTTGGCGCCTTTACCCCAGGCTGTAGTGAGGTAGAAAGAAATACTCAATTAGCATTTTATCTTATATTACTTTCAAATTGCCCCGATTCCTAGAGTGTGAAAAAGAATGAAATTCTAGTTTGAAGTATTTTATATTTAGAAACATCAAGTCTGATAATCATGTTTATGAAACAGTCCATGCCTTGTCAGCAATGACCTGTAGTTCTTGGATGAATTTCTGCTCTTAACTCCACCTGTACTTCAATTGCGCAGATTGATGCTCATGCTGTTGATCACTGGATTGTCTGGTCCAGACTGGATTATTTACAGACCGCCGTCATATAGCTCGAATATTGCTGAGTGCGGCGTAAAACTAAACTCACTCACTTACCTGTACTTAAAAGTGAAAGCTTTCATTCTTTTCAGCTTTGACAATGTGTTGCTAATCTGCTGTCTACTGCTTTAATATGCAGTATTCTAGCTACATCAGAGCAGTCTATAAACATGGTAAATAATCTAGTGCAGAGATATTCATAGTGGGTATTTAAATTTTGAATGACACATGTGAGTATCCTTGTGAAAAGTTGAGTACTATACTTTACCTTCCATAAGAGATTAATTTAGGAAAGGAAAATACTGCTTAAGCTTGCCTTCATAGGAAAACTCACAGGCACATAGTTCTATTACATATTTAGCGTTTTAAGAGGTCACTTTCAAAACATATAATTCTGCCTAATTCATTTGGTGCCTTAGTTTATTCTTCACCATTTCTTGCTTAAGGTGTAAAAAACATCTGTTCACAAAGTGGTAAAGAAATAAGAAAAAAAATGCCTCATCTGATGAAATAACCATCTCAACTACTAAACAGAACTTATTTTTGGTAAAAAATGTTAATACATGCAATCAGACGTTTATAGATTCCTTTATATTTGTTTCTGTTCAATTTCAGTCACACATTCCTGAATACATATCTAACCATCAAAAGTTCAAGGTAGGTGTCTGTCTAAAAAAATATGCCTACGGAATTCAGCTATTTAATGTTTAGTGTGTAGTTAATTGTGTGATGTGTTAGCCATTCCCTATATTGAATATTACTTCAGAGATGGCAGTGCAAGCTAATGCTTAGGTTTGACTCTCATACTGAATTCAAAGTGTGTCATCACTAGGGTGTGAGTTTTAATCTCAGAATTAGAGATTTGATGTTGTAACATCTGTTTATCAAGGATTTAGATCAAAATTTGATGAAATATAAACTGTGGTGTCAACTTAATAATTATCACAATCATTAGTTCACAGTTTTGTTACGAGAGATTCTGTAGACGCAAGAATGACAAATCTCCTGTAACTCGCATCCACATAGTTTTATTCTTTGATGGGTAACAATGATGACACTTTAGGTGTTGATGTACGTTGACAATTGTACAACTAGAATACAGGTTTGATGTTGATCATTAGTTATTGTGTGAACAGATAAATCGATGAGTGGTTGAGGTTTTGAAAACTAGAATAAACAGAAACAATTTGTGATATAGTTTGACTATGAATATAACGCATTAACAAAAGATCATCTAAAATCATGTTTAACAATATTGAAAACGTTTGAACATTATTTGAACACTTTTAAAGGTCACATGCAACGTAAAACACAACTTTGCAGATTCTGATATCTTTCGGTATGGACTTACCGAAACAAATCATCAAAAATGCAAATTCAACTTATAAAGTTGAAAAATCATGCGATGAAAAAAAATCGGAAATCAGCTGGCCAGTCGGGATAGCTTTAACAATATTTCACTGGCCCGATTCACAATCAGCTAGCATTTGGCTAGCGGGCCAGTAGCTATTTCAAATGCTGCTCTCACTCACTCACTTCTACTACACTCGATCAATGGCTGATGTTTCTGTGACAGGAGGAGGGGTATGATGTCATCTGCTGTGTAGCTGTCAACGACCCTTTTGTCATGAATGCCTGGGGGAAGGAACTCAAAGCTGAGGGAAAGGTAAAATGGTTTATGTCATGTCGTAAAATATTTTGCATGATGTTTAAACAAGTGAATAGTTTAAGAATGAGGACAATGTTTATGGATATACAAACGTCTTTATTCTGTATAGGCGGCGTTTCGACATAGGTTCTTATGTTATCAAGCAAGTTAATAGTTTGCACAAGGTTTGTTCAAGGTATCCAAGATGGAATTTCAATGTGGTTGCCAGGTAGCCATCTTATGTTAAAAACAAGACATTTTAATTAAATATCTATTTCTTAAAATCTTTAAGGGAAATGGGGTTGAAACTTAGCATGCTTAGTGGGTACCTAATTAGTACTAAGTCGGTTCAAGACATTTTGATTTATGATCAAATATGGCTACAAGTGGCCATATTGAAAAATGCAATTATTCGGTTGTCAATCTTAAACAGATTGACCAATGAAACTAAAACTTCAAATGCATGCTCCCATGCACCTATGGTGACTCCTGAATTTGTTGAAAAGTTTGGGGTCTGATTGCAGCCGTGTTTAAAACACCATATGTGGCAATCACTCGGTAACTTTTGTTAAAAATGTCATGAATTTTGGTACATGCAAAGTTACAATGTACATTCTGATATGTCCATAAAGCTTAGAGTTGAAACTTCAGGCAAAGCCAACTTAACCATTGTGTGTATTGCAAGAATGCTCCACAATAGTGTGATCAGTCTGAAAAAAATATGGGATAGTCAGTTACTTATTTCATATTTGGGAAGAACTTTGTCCTAAACATATTTGAATAACAGATATTGACTTCCTGGTATGATATATTCTGTTTTTGTGTTTCAGATCAAAATGCTGGCTGACACAAGAGGCGAGTTCACAAGGGCGATGGGCATGCAGCTGGACTGTACGAAGCCTCTCGGGGGATGGCGGTCCAGGAGGTATAGCTGCCTGTTTCAACATTGTGCTATTGTGCATAGTAGTTTTGTGTTGCAGGTATTCTATAGTGGTAGAGGGCAGAATGATACAGCTGTAGTTTTGTGTTGCAGGTATTCTATAGTGGTAGAGGGCAGAATGATACAGCTGTAGTTTTGTGTTGCAGGTATTCTAAAGTGGTAGAGGTCAGCGTGATACAGCTGTAGTTTTGTGTTGCAGGTATTCTATAGTGGTGGAGGGCAGAATGATACAGCTGTAGTTTTGTGTTGCAGGTATTCTATAGTGGTAGAGGACAGCATGATACAGCTGTAGTTTTGTGTTGCAGGTATTCTATAGTGGTAGAGGGCAGCGTGATACAGCTGTAGATTTGTGTTGAAGGTATTCTATAGTGGTGGAGGACAGCGTGATACAGCTGTAGTTTTGTGTTGCAGGTATTCTATAGTGGTAGAGGACAGCGTGATACAGCTGTAGTTTTGTGTTGCAGGTATTCTATAGTGGTGGAGGACAGCGTGATACAGCTGTAGTTTGTGTTGCAGGTATTCTATAGTGGTGGAGGACAGCGTGATACAGCTGTAGTTTTGTGTTGCAGGCATTCTGTACAGCTGTAGTTTTTGTTGCAGGTATTCTATAGTGGTGGAGGACAGTGTGATACAGCTGTAGTTTGTGTTGCAGGTATTCTATAGTGGTGGAGGACAGCGTGATACAGCTGTAGTTTTGTGTTGCAGGCATTCTGTACAGCTGTAGTTTTTGTTGCAGGTATTCTATAGTGGTGGAGGACAGCGTGATACAACAGATCAACGAGGATCCAGATCACACAGGCCTGGTTTGTCTGCTGTGTATAAAGAACATGAAGAGTCGGGCACGGGCACCACCATGACATAGGTCTGGACCCCCTGCCCCGTCGTAGTGTCTTCTTTTCAACTTTGTGAGCTTACGCTACCATTTGATTTGTATTATAATTTGTTCACTTTAATCAAGGCATTATCTCCATCTGGACAAAAGGTTCTCGGCTGATAGTTTGTGTTGATGAGGACTTGGGATCTGTGCAATCTGCTGTTAACTTCTGTAGGACCATGTCGAGTTGCAGTTGCATCCCACCATCTTCAGTTATCTTCAGAGTATTTAGTTGAATTCTACTATCATATTTACCTTGGACACATTCCCCATGACTGCTTGGTGTTGAGTCTGATTTGAATGGCACATGGCTAAAAATGAATGTATGTTTTGAATAAGACTCATGATCAGGAGAAATTCTATGATAGTGTACATACATCAAAGATTGTGATGTAATAATTGGCAAATTGGTCCAGGGTGGAATGAAAATATCTTTCACTGCACCACTTTGAATAACAAACGACTTCTCTTTGGTACTAAAACACTGCTGTTCTTTTCCTGAAAGTTAAAATATGCAGTTTTACTTTTCAAAAAGTCATTTTAACAGTATCAAAGATGAACAAGAGTTAATGATCTCACTGGAAGTATGTTGTCTTAATTTCAAACAGGCCAAAATTTTTCTGAGAAAAACAGTTTGTATCCAGATGTTTTTACATCTCCTGAAACTGATGTTCTGTAGATGCTGAGAGAGAGATGAGAAGGCCCACCAGTGTATCTCTACATGGGAGTGGCCACATATGCTACTGAACTATTGTTAAGGATATTCTAAGTGTCCAGGTTGGTGATGAAGGGCACTTGTTGTTTGGATGTGTTGTCATGCAAAAAGTAGCTGATATTGAGTGAAACTTAAACATGTTAAAAAGTACACGAGTCAATAATATTTTGCCCACTAGTTTCGTTCCATATCCCAAGCAATTTTTAAGTAGTGTGTAAGAAAAGACACAGGAAACACGATTTTAGACAGAATCTCATGTAGATGCTGCCAAGTGTATCCATAGCTCGCCCGTACAAAGATCTACCTAGCGAACAAATGCAGGTGTATGGAGGTTGTATAGAACACCATAGCTCCCTGACTCAGGCAAACAGTGACATAGATCTGGATACTACCAGGATGATATTTGTGTGTGTGTCTTCAAGGCATAGTGAGACTTACCTCTGTATTTTGAGGAGGGACCTCTGGGATGATATAATTTCCGTCTAAGGTCGGCTGGCCCATTTGTCCAGTTTTGTGATCAGTTTAATTAGTAATGAAAACGCTTACTCCGAATTGTCACTGTTATCAGTTGTCATGGAAATCTGCTGGGATGTTATTGTGTTGGCTGTTCTAGCTGTTGAGTAGCTGGTGTTCTTATTGAACTTATTACATAGAAATGATGTTTTCTAAAAGGTTATTTTGCCTATGTGGAAAGTTTATTTTTCTGTTTTTACTTTGTGTAAAATTGTTAGCTTGCCAAGTGATATACCCATCTGCATCTTGAATTGTGTGTCAATTGAATCTGCTGCCTTCACTTGGCCTTTCATGTGTAAAGTGAAATCATCCGGATAATTGAATATCCGGTTATCTGGATTTTTTGTTTTCATACACCTTTAGGATAATCCAAAATGTTTATGATCATCAAGCCGTTATTGTACATGTATAGACATTCAAAAACAGCATCACAACATAATAATCATACCTTTACAATTATTCAGTTTTGAAAAAGTCTTTCATTGAGGACTGCTTACACTGGGTGCCGCTGCTTTGCAACACGATGGAGAACATTTTGACTTGAATATCGAGACACTGCACTTTTATTGCTTTTACTGAATAAACAACTTAACAGTTAGAACTCAATGGTTAAATCAATGTCAGCTAGGCCTACTAATTACCACCAATACCTTGCTGATCGATCATTAATCCGGATTAGCAGACCATGTCTCGTGTCAAAACACTTGGGACTCTCGCGCTTCCCTTCACACGGTCAAAGGTAGATCAAAGCTTCGTGCGTATACGCGGGTCAATTTTGTGTTGATTTAGCCGGTTGGTTTGTAAAATATACCGTCCGGAAAGGGAACCCGAATATCTGTTATAGACAGTCACTTTTATAACATAAGAGATTAGTTTTCTCTAAAAATTGACCGGAAGGCGAGTTTTCCGGATATCTGGGGTCCGGGTATCCGAGGTCTCACTGTATTTGGACTGTTATCTTTTTTTTGCTCTTTTGTTAATAATTGAGCACACCAGCAAACAGTCTTCACCAGAGAACAGAATATCAAACAGGAAGTGTCAGAAGCTATATTTTCTATATCCTTGCACCTACAACTGTGTGGAAGTATGTGTGTACAGTGCCTTTCATTCCTGCTAGATACCATTGGTTTGGGTAGTTCTTTTGAGAGCTGCTCATACACCAGTTTTTGTGATTGTGTGCTCGTATGTCTTGTAGGGACAATAAGTTTCTTGTCTTCCATTTACGTCTGTTGCCTGGACTCAGTTTCTTGCAGCAACACAAAATTTATCCCAAACTGATGAAAATTTAGGTCATCTGAGTTTTTAGCTCAGTGTTTTTTGTCTGGGATCTCAGTGGAATTGGCAGGGATTTCCACTTTAATTCTAATGAAAATTGAAGCTGAAATTTATTTAGAGAAACAAATTTGAGCTTGTTTCAAGAAAACTGGGTGGTATGCTGCTTTCATAAGAAAGCTTAAATCAGTAACTTATGTTCATGGCCAGACCGTGATCAGTTCTGTGGAATCTAGTACTGTCCTTTTCTTGTGAAAACACCCATGACCCATTCTTAGGTACAGTCTCCTTGTGTACAATGCATTGTTGAAAAATACAAAGTTGTAGTTCAGATTAAATCTTACCTTACATTAATAACCCACTACACATGGCATTCTGTATACATGATCATGTTTTACTTTCTCATAAAAATAACGCCAAAAAATGTGACCAGAGCCTTTATTCTTGAAACGTTCATAGCCCTAAGAATTCTTAACTTTGATAGTAGCCAACGTGTTAAGAAAGGGCTTAAAAAAATCGTAGGGCTACGAATGTTTTGAGAATAGCTAGCCAGCTCTATGTTTCCTGCTTTGGACAAAAATCAAACCCCACTGTCTGTATAAAGATACCCAGGTGTATTTTAGGGGTAAGGTGCATGCAATGTACTCACAAAAGTACACAATTTGGTAGCTCTTCTGAAGCTTCCCATTGTTAGGTATGGTTCTTTTATATATTTTCCTACCTGTGTAAATTGCTGTAGTTCCAGTCACTATTTTCTCATTTCAGAATAGGGCTGCCCAAAATGTTGTAGAAAGACATTATTATATGGTTTATCGAAACACTGTTCCTTTAAATATGTTGTTTGTATTGTTGATTAGCTTATAGTTGAAGAATTGTCCATTTCGGAAATCAACCCTATGTTTTTTTAACCACTTGCTTGTAAGAGTTTTGGAGTTTTGGTAAAACAAGAAACAGTTACATCTAAATGTTAACTGTTCTCCATATGAACAAGTTGCAAGCAATACTCCAGCAGTGGATACATTTATTTGCAATGTGTTGTGATATAAACCAGAATTACTGTGTTGTATGTTTCACAGTGTGTTTGTGGTGTCCATTCATGAAGACAGTGTTTTTAATATGTCAAATGACTAAACATTTCAGGGAATATATTTTGAATGTATGTATACATTTTTCAGAATTTGATGAGAGGTTTCAGATGAAACACTGGTACATGCTACTGTTGATCATGTTAAACTAGGGAATATAGATCTTGCAGTTACAATGAATTGATCTGGTACTGGTGTTGTCATAGTTACTTGTTAATAATGAACATATTTGGATAATGGTGAATGTGTAAATAAAGGTTTATGATCTTGACTGGCTCAATGTTATAGAATCCTGGTTTGAAATGAAGTCTGATGAAAGACATGTAGTTCTCGTGGTAGACGTCCACCAAAACCCAAACACAGACCAAGATCAACCTGGTAAACATCTTGTGGGATTTGGGGACATGAGTCACTGGATTGTCTGGTCCAGAGAGCATAGTGTTAACAAACCAAAAATAGAATAATGCTCTGAAGCAGCTGCAATCTGTGAACATGCATTATCATTTCTATTATCTTGTTCTACAACACAAGTCGTAACACCAGCATATCGCCCATGATTTTATTAAAATATATTCCTTCAACAAAATATGGAAACAATGTTTTCTTTCTTGACAATGGTCACGTTTAACACTGATATATGATGACACATAACATGAACACCGTCTTGTTCATGGTGTCCCAGAACTACAGCTCTATAAGCCCAGGGATATATACACCATACCACCGTGCATGGATACCATATGCCATCTTCAGTCACAGCTCAAAACACCACCAGTTCCGGCTATGTTAGAAAACTAACTTAGCCAAGACGATATCCAATTTTCAGTTAAATTGGAAAAACAAATTGTATATGTACATTTTGATATAAATGGTAAGACTTTTTACACTTAAGACAAGACCTTACTTTGTAAACAACCCCTGTTTAAGTGCTTTTTAAGCAGGGATTTCTGTTTTTGATGGACATTCAGTAGCTGGAAGAACAGGAAAAAATGAAATTTTTATGGATAACCATCCTAATTCTCTATCCAAATATCAATTACCAGAAGATAACAAAACTTCAGGAAACTGGAAGTCCAAAGAAGAACGCCAGCTTATAAATGAGACCAAGGCTGTACTGTACTTAATTGGCTTCTCTCCTGTTCTTCCTTTCTGACCTACAACCTGAACATTTTAAACAAAATCTGTTGATCAAATAACAAGTTAAGTCTAACGGAGTAATGTCCCTTTGTATAAAACATGGTCCTAAAGTTATCACCAGAGGGGGGTATTACTGTGTGTCTCATACATTCATGAAGCAAGACCTTATTACTACCTACAACATTATGTATCTAGTTAGGTGTGTCAATTAGCCACTGAGGAACATATTTACACTACAAATAAACAAGACATGATGGATATATCACAAGAAAATATACAAAGATATAATATATCATGCTTCATACAGTGTCAGTAACCATGGAAACAGTATAATAGTTGTGAGATAAACATATTAGTCCCAAAATGCCCTGTTGCACCATCACCAGTATAACAATCATGTCACGTCTCTCCAACACAGGCCACCATCAGTATTCAACACATGGACTGCTGGCTGGGGTTGTAGTGGGGACGTTGTAGTATTTATTAACATTCTCAATAAATAAGAAGTTATTCTGGAGAAAATGGATGCAAGGGAGAATATTTTTATATCAGTGTTGAATACAAGAGGACACTAATTAGATAATTTACAGTAATTTGTCATTTTCGGTTACTTTAAAACTGTTACATCCCAAACTGTGGCTTCAGCTGGAAGAGTGAGTGAGTATGGTTTTATGCCACTTTTAGAAATATATTTCAGCAATATCACGGCAGGGGCACCAGAAATTGGCTTCACACATTGTGCCCATGTGGGGAATCGAACCCGGGGCTTCAGTGTGACGAGCGAACGCTTTACCACTCGGCTACCCCACCGCCCCTCAGCTAAAACAAAACAATGTATGATTGATACATAGAGTCTGATGAGTGAAGTTTCACAATACCCCTATTGTCCAACTTGAAATCGGCCTTAAGTAATTGGTCCACATGAATGAGCTGATGATATTAAAACTGGTCCATTCTATTACATAAAATATCCAATAAGGACTTGACATAAACCACCCTTAAAGGATCAACACAAACAATTGAAATCAGGATAAACCAGAATGACAGTCACAGGGCAGCAAGTGATCTTAGAGCTGAAACAATTGCAAGTCACCAGAGTGCTGTTGTACAAAGGAATCTTAATACTAAGGTGACCGTGACTCCCCTAACATAGACTTACGACTGGCATAGTGTTGAGGTTGCTTTGTACAACGGCATCCTGCTCTATCAGAGACTCATGACAGTCATAGCTCTACAAATTCCAATGTGGAACGGGGCCTAAGCCCTATTCCACTTGATGTTAGCACCAGACATTCGCAAGTCAATGTTAAACTATGGCAGTCCCAAATACAGTCTTCATGCTGAGATCACGTGTTGCCCCAGACCCTCATAAGCTGTACCGATTACACACTGCTATCCAGGGTACAAAAAAGTCGTACCAACCATTCTTTCCCCAAAGTGAGACTGAGCACGGACTCCATACATTCATGCACACAATATCACAAAGAAACGGTCCAGATTGAGACAAATTATGATTATTTTGAGTGAGACCATCTTTCCCACAATATTAATGGCAAAACTACCAAAAGTTTGTGAACCCTGTCACTCACGGCTGCCGTGCCTCCCGACGTTGCCCTCGACTCACAGCTCATCTCTGTCACCAGAAAAAGAAACACAGTTAGTACAACACAACACACAACTTGCAAAACAAATCAGGAAATTTATTTTGATATTTCAAATACCCAAAACCTCCTGACTACATACTGTAATTACTGCTGAAAATGTAGGCCATAAAAATGGCTTTTTATTAGCATAATATCAAAATGAACCTTTTTAAGAATTCAAATATCTCATCTGCAACCATAACTGCATTTGAAAATGCAGCTAGTCAGTTGCAAGTCACTCAGTATTCGCTAAAACAAAACCATTATGTTTACCACACAAATCGTGAACTTACGCATGTTTGAGATAAGTAGCAATCTGATGAAAACATTTTAACCTTTTCTTGCTCGACAAATTAACAATAACCAGTTTACTTTATTTCTTGCTTATGTGAAAATGATTGATTATTTGTAATATACTTTTTTAATAAATAAGAAAAAAGCATACAGTGCAATGTGCCTGGAAGAAGTTAATATTAAATGCAAGCAGGAAAAGATGATATTTTACCAACAGATTCCTGTAAGATCTGAATATAGATCAAATTTGAATTTCGTAAAGGGAATGAGAAAATCGATCTAATTCACAAATTCACTTGCAAATCAAAACAGCAGCTTTGGGATTTGAAATGAAAATAAGCTTTCTGATTATTATAAATGTTGGCAGTTGATGATAGTCCATATCAACATCGTCTGAAAGAAACAAAATTGTGCTTTTTATAACATTCAACATGCCTTTCCTTAAAGTGAAATGATACGTACAGCTCCACGTTTACTGACATCCACTGATACTAGTTGCCAGTCATGCCTATACAGACAAATCCCTCAACAATTCTTGTAGAGACCAATACTAACTCACCTGCTTCACAAGTGAACAATAAATACTATTGTGAAGAACTGTTCGTACTCCATGTTTCTACATAATTTAGCTTCAAGTACAACATTTCTGTTAAAAATATATTGTATAATTAGCTGAATTTTGGAAACTTTCCGTGACATTTCTGAATGTGCTCTCTTACCAACATTTGTAACTAATATAGATGCACAAAATATATCTACAACATATGGAGGTGGACAATGACTTGTGAATGTTGATACAAGACCTGCATCAGTCTCTCTAAGAATATTCTCGTAGTGGGATTTGTAGGTAAGGATTTGTACAGTAACAGAGATACATAATAGCTGCTGACATCACAGATGAGCACTACAACACAACAAGGACACATGCTGACATCTGCTGGCTCATGCTGCCTACATGAACAATATGATTTCTCAACGTTTCAAACAATATGAAGACATTCTCTGCAGGTAAATTATCTTGCTTTATCTTGGGATTTCTCGTTTCAAACAATATGAAGACATTCTCTGCAGGTAAATTATCTTGCTTTATCTTGGGATTTCTCGTTTCAAACAATATGAAGACATCCTCTGCAGGTAAATTATCTTGCTTTATCTTGGGATTTCTCGTTTCAAACAATATGAATACATTCTCTGCAGGTAAATTATCTTGCTTTATCCTGGGAAGGATTTCATCCATCATGTCCATGATTATTAAGGTTTTTTCTCTGTAAGTTTCATACAGCATGGTTCAGGGCAACCAAAATGAGCTTCACATGTTAGTTCATGTGGTTAATCAAAAAGATCGTCTGTGTGACTGGTGAACACTTTAACCACTAGGCCACCCAAACATATAAAATTCAGAGCACTGTCTCTTGTACAGATTTTGCAACTGAAACTACATGTAGACCTAATACAGATACTTATGTAAATATATGTTTTTCACATTAGAGGTGAGATGAGGTGAAATTGGGTTTTTACGTCGTGCTTTTTTCACATTAGAGCTTTAGAAAACGAATCTGTTGGTAACCAAGGAAGCAGTTTCAGTATTAGAAATGAATACAGGAATGGTAACTACTGATGGCTGGGAAGGATGTCAATGATGAAACGTGCCTTGATACTGGGCAACATGACAATGTCAGCTATAAATAAGAGATGGGAAAGTGTGTGTTAGGATGAAAACTTAACTACAGAAATGAGATCTGTCAGACATTTGGTTATAGGCCAGAAAAACAAACTTCTTGTCAGGATACATAAACTTGAATCCCTGCGACACTGACAGACCGTAAACAGCATGACTAACACTAGTAAGGTTGGAATCCGGCACAAAAAATGGCATGAAAAACAAGAAACATAATATCCAAAAGCCTTATTGTAATCAATATTTTACTGGCAAAATATTTTTGAAAAATACTACTGTGATAATACCGTAACCATGTAATGTCATATTGTTTGGAGGCTCAAACAATACCAAACCCAAGGCATTCAAAATACTATGAAACTGTCACAACACCAAAGGGAGACAATCAGTCAAGGCTTCTGCACCACAACAAAAATGATGGACCAACAAAGAGGGAGTTTTACATGCACCGACCAAAAACCCAACCTACCTTCATCAACAAGATTAACATATAAGGATCTCTGATAAACTGAGGTCTCAATCTGTCCAAGATGAACTATATCACGTACGGACATACATAGAACATGTGAACTTGCCTGTAGCAATTTCTCCACAGCATGCACCAGTTCATCATCAACAACAATGGAGGCAGAAGACAATTTCTCATATGATATATCTGAGGTCATGAACCAGGACATGTAGTGGGAATTTTCAGAGAACTGTGTACTAGTTCTAAAGCCACAATACACGATGTTTCCCACATACGACCACAAAATATTACATAGTTTTGTTTCTGTCCCCACCCACGTCACTACAAATATCCAGCCTCACAAAAGTGCTTTGTCCAAAAGAATAACAGACCAAGTACAATCCTCACGTGTCTCTACTCTCTCCTTGATTTGAAACATCTCACATGTTGTTCCACATAACTGATATGCTTCATGTGAATCGCCGCACAAGTTAAGGTATACAGACATTTAGAACAGTTTTTATTTTAACAAACAACTTTATAATATACTACCTTGTCTCACATTTCCAAAAACATAATTAATATATTGTGACCTGTCATGATGTTTATTATACAAGCACAGGTAAGTAGCTCAAGTACCACAAACCCTGTGTTCAATTTACAAATTACAATTTACAAATTCAGTTTATCCAAACAATAATCTTGATCACTGTACATCAACAATACATTACACTAACAAAGCATTGAGTTGCCTCCATAGAAATCTTCTTTCTTCACAAGCGACAAATATACAGGCACAAATAAGATGGTAAACAATATGTCAGAACCATGACACACAGATATGTTGTATTCAAAGAAAGTAGCACCTAATACATAGTACTGAACCAAAGATTTGAATCTCTCTGTAAATCTGGTCAGTAACAATCACCATCCTGCAGTCTGGTTGCCAACACTCAATGAACACTGTAAAGCATGATCGCCATCACCAACAGCCTACCCTTGTGCAAATGTGTAGCCATCACCAGTAACCTACCCCAGTGCGAGTTGCCATCACCATCGGCCTAGCATTTTGCTCTCTTGTCACTATTGCCAACAGCCTACTACAGTGCAACCAGATCGCTATCGTCAACAGCCTACTACAGTGCAACCAGGTCGCTATCACCAACAGCCTATCACAGTGCAACCAGGTCGTTATCGCCAACAGCCTAACAGAGTGCAACCAGGTCGTTATCGCCAACAGTCTAACAGAGTGCAACCAGGTCGTTATCGCCAACAGCTTAACAGAGTGCAACCAGGTCGTTATCGCCAACAGCCTAACAGAGTGCAACCAGGTCGTTAGAGCCAACAGCCTACCACAACCTGGTCACAATCACCAACAGCCTACCACAACCTGGTCACAATCACCAACAGCCTACCACAACCTGGTCACAATCACCAACAGCCTACCACAACCTGGTCACAATCACCAACAGCCTACCACAACCTGGTCACAATCATCACCAACAGCCTACCACAACCTGGTCACAATCACCAACAGCCTACCACAACCTGGTCACAATCACCAACAGCCTACCACAACCTGGTCACAATCACCAACAGCCTACCACAACCTGGTCACAATCACCAACAGCCTACCACAAACCTGGTCACAATCACAGGAACCTTACCAAAGTGGAATCACAATAATCATAACACACTGCAACAAGATCATGATCACCGAGAGCCTACGGCGCTGCAACCAGTTTGCCATCACCTACAACCTCCAACCATGCAGCTAAGCTCAACCCCCATTGACAACAGTACAGCATGGTCATCCAAAAGTCATGTGAACCTCACCGATGTTTAAATATCATGGCAACATGTGGACAACCAGAATGAGGTTCTAACCTCAATATAGCATTAGGTGATATAGGAGTCCTTAATGAAGATCTGGGTGAACACAATCCAGGTGAACTCTCCCAGTCCGGATATTCCTGCAGTCCCTATATCATCATGCATGAGAACAGTATGGAGTGTGTTAGTTGGGGAGTGGTGTTAGTTCAGTCATAGATGTCATCAAGATAGTCGACAACTTGCTGCCACCAACCGCCATCAGTCTGGAAATCAGCATCAGCTTCTGACGATGCTCGGTCTGTGGCACTGAAATAAACACGGCTGTTATATGAGAGACATGGAATACAGAGAGACATAACAGACACCTTGCAATCGAGGACATATATGTTGATACACACAGAAGGATGAGGAACATGTGAAGGAGGGCATACATGTTTGTATACACTGACGAATAAGAGTGTAACTTTGCAGTGGTAGGGATATAATGTTGATATACACTGAAGGTCACATGACATTTTGCATTGGAGGATATAAAGATGATATACACTGGGCATGGACGTACACAGGAACCTTACCAAAGTGGAATCACAATAATCATAACACACTGCAACAAGATCATGATCACCGAGAGCCTACCGCGCTGCAACCAGTTTGCCATCACCTACAACCTCCAACCATGCAGCTAAGCTCAACCCCCATTGACAACAGTACAGCATGGTCATCCAAAAGTCATGTGAACCTCACCGATGTTTAAATATCATGGCAACATGTGGACAACCAGAATGAGGTTCTAACCTCAATATAGCATTAGGTGATATAGGAGTCCTTAATGAAGATCTGGGTGAACACAATCCAGGTGAACTCTCCCAGTCCGGATATTCCTGCAGTCCCTATATCATCATGCATGAGAACAGTATGGAGTGTGTTAGTTGGGGAGTGGTGTTAGTTCAGTCATAGATGTCATCAAGATAGTCGACAACTTGCTGCCACCAACCGCCATCAGTCTGGAAATCAGCATCAGCTTCTGACGATGCTCGGTCTGTGGCACTGAAATAAACACGGCTGTTATATGAGAGACATGGAATACAGAGAGACATAACAGACACCTTGCAATCGAGGACATATATGTTGATACACACAGAAGGATGAGGAACATGTGAAGGAGGGCATACATGTTTGTATACACTGACGAATAAGAGTGTAACTTTGCAGTGGTAGGGATATAATGTTGATATACACTGAAGGTCACATGACATTTTGCATTGGAGGATATAAAGATGATATACACTGGGCATGGACGTACAAGGACATGGGAAACACATTGTAAGAGGGGACGAATGCAAAGACATACACAGAATACCCTTTTTGATGGAGCAGAAAATATAACTATATACGCTGGTTAACATGGAAGGCACTTTAGAATGGACCCAAGGGATGCTACATGAGGAGGTAAGTTTTTTTCAGAAGCATCTATGAGAAAAAGATTCTGTTGAGAAGATGGTTAGACATGACATTCAGAACATTTCTAGTTTCACCTTGGCAAACTTGATGACAGAGTACGTCTGTACATGCATGTGTATCTTGTTTTATCGATATGGATTTCTGGAACTTTGATAATCATACTAGATCTATGCTCACTATCAACACCAACACATTATGTACATTGTTAAGTGAACCAACAAGTATTGAGGAAGGTTTGGTTGTCTAAAAAAATCTAAAATGTTGATGTTTAAACTTGAAGTCTTGGTGCATAATGAAATCAGACCAATGTTTTTTTGTACACTAACCTAAACAGGTCACCTTACAAATCAACCCTGACTCCCACCAAAAAGTAATAGACCTTGTCTGATGGTGACAATAGGACTCCATGGTGGAATTCATGCCCACTCATGGATCAAAACACCCTTCAGGTTTGGTCCATGGTATGCATGAATTGGGCAAACAAATCCTGACCATGTACTTTGTATATTCTCCAGGTTTTGTTTGATAAACTGATACGGTAAAGCAATATTAGAAGTGTTAGTCCTTGTAAACAATGTACACCTCTTTTCTGTGTGTTAGTACTATAATTATTTATTACTGTATCAAGTGTTTCACATTAAAAAGAATATGCTCAGTTTCTATATTGGCATCAAAAATAATTATTCTGATAAAATAGCCAGGATGGTATGACGGATGATGAACCGACAGAAGGGACAAGAAATATCCCTTCAGTTCTGCTGTTAAGACGTTCATCACACTAGTCAATTTTACCATGTCAAACATGTATACAGGTATAACATATATAGTTCTCTATAGTTCATTTGCTGTACAATATCACATAATATTATTGCTTCTGAAATATGCTGATATGTAACCTTGATGTATTCAGATATCAAAAGTTAAAGATTTTCTATATACTGAGTGAGTATAGTTTTACGCCGCACTCAGCAATATTCCAGCTCTATGGCAGCGGTCTGTAAATAATCAAGTCTGGACCAGACAATCCAGTGATCCACAGCATGAGCATCGATCTGCGCAATTAGGAACCGATGCCATGTGTCAACCAAGTCAGCGAGCCTGACCACCCAATCCCGTTAGTCGCCTCATACGACAAGCATAGTCGCCTTTTGTTTTCTATACAGAGCATGCATTGTTACATCTTTATCACAGATACAAGTAAGGCCACAACTGACGACATTTACACATTGTTAAAACCAAATGGTAAAGTCATATCGCATGCCACAACACTCAGAAAGCATGACATATTCCAATGTTGATTTATGGATCTGCACACTGACAAAAGTCACCAATTTCTCTGAAACATGTAAATATTCCACACATGTGGAACTAATAAAATTTTGACAACAGTCTCTTTTTTTCTTTCTACAAAAAGGGAGGAAGTTTTAAACAAATTTCAGTTCAAAATACTTCCAAAAGTTGTTACTAACAGTTAGTAAAAGGGAAGTAACTCTTGTTACAACCAGAGCAATTCAACCAATGTTATTCAATTCTGATTTCACCCAAAGGCCCAAAGTTTCAAGGGATTATTTATATTACATATTTTCCATAACCACCAAGACAATAGTCCATAAACAAAAAGTATCCATAAACCAATAAAAAAAAACAATAAAACACATAAATATCTGAATTAGCAACAATGTCATTACAGGGTAAACTAAAATTGTAGACGCAACTTCTAACATTCCATTGATGGCAGCAGAAACCAGATTAAGCTGAAATGTTGTGCCAGAAAATTGGGTCGTAATTAGCCTAACTTTGTTCAAAACGTGACTGTTCAACTAGCAGTGAATGGGTACCTGGTAGGATGAGACTGTTAATAATCTTGCACCTCAAAAGAATTGTCTCATTAGGCTATTGACTCATATTTTAATTGTCATGCCTCTGTCCACCCAGCAGTGAATGGGTACCTGGTAGGAAGAGATAGTAATGTAAATGTTAATCTTCTTGTACACCATTGGTAGCTTTGGTTGTGTACTCCCTAGGGAGTTGAGATTATAGAGCTGGTCACTACATCAAAGCTCTGTGTACATTAATCAGGACCAGAGATTCAACAGTGAGATCAAAGATGAACCCCAATGGGTAAAATAGAAGGCACTTGATTAGTGCAGATCTGTGCAGTTCACATAATTTTCGGTGCTCAATAATTAGTAGTCAACAACTGATCAGCCATTTAAACCACCCAACCCACAGCTGGTATCACAAACATAACTTAATAGAGCCCAGGCCCTGCTTCATAAAGGGATCTTAGAGCTATGATCACTTGTGAAATGTGCTCTGGTCTAGAGCATGATCCGCCAGGGGAGATAATCTTAGAAGTTGCATCTGTGTTCTTTGTCATCAGTTATTATTTTGTCAGTTGAAAGTATGTTGACCCAATCACTGTAAATGAACTCCAAAATCCCCAAAACACCCTCATACACTTGAAAACATATTTTCCATATAAGATATATTTAATAACAGTCTTCTGTTTTGATTCACTGATTCACAAGTCATTTTGATTGGTTGTTGCGTTCAACGTTATCAGAGATATTGTTTGGAGACGAGAAAGATGGGTTGGGGAGGCCATGTTCGAACTGAAGCTTGCATGGCATATCCACATCAAGATACACTACACTGGGAAATCAAGGATGCTGCTTCTTTTGGTTAAATTTTCAATACCCAAATATAATGTTGTCGTGGTAATTGTGTAACAAAGAAACAAACCGTAAACATCTTGATCAGCACTATGATAAACCAGGGACACAATGAGGACTTTAGCCACAACACTGCCTGAAGTGGATCACAATTTCCATCATGCAAACTGCCACAAAACAAAATGTCTGACTGCCACAACACATTAGCAGCTTGTTCCTCACTTTTTACATCCTGAGGCCTGAAGTCCATTGTACTGCAGATAGCTGGCAACAAAGTTACGGAATATGCGATTGAAGTCGTCGATTAGCGTGAAGTCCAGCGATGCAAGGTTATCTCTTTTCGTGTGCCAGACTTGTGGGAAGGGGTACGAGATTAGATGGAGAATGGAAACACCTGCAATAGAGATTATCATCTCGTGTTAAAACACATATCTACTTTATTGGCTAGTCTCAATTATGTAGAAGTTGATAAAACTTACATAGCCAGACTGTATGTGTATCCTTATATCATAATGTCTAAAGCAATGTCACTACTTCAAGTCCTAATTGATCCTGTTTGGGCTTTATAGAAGTGCTTCTATGGTCACAAGATAATCGTGACACACAAACACCCCACCGAATATATTACTGCAAACTCATGATTTGTTTCAAGTGCTGCTAGTGGTACACATGGTACACATGGAAATTCAAACTAAGGGAGACAACCCTGATGTGAATCTTGACTATATCCAACATTTAGCACTGCTGCCCTTAATAAGCACGAAAGATTTTTTGAAGAAAGAAACTGTAAGAAACATGAATAATTTTTTAAAGATGACCTTGATGCTTCATCATGTTTACATGACTGAATAGTGTTAAACATAACTGACAATGACTCAAATTCTCACACAGCATTACAGCTTCCCCATTTCCATAGGAGTGATATAGCGAGGATGCCAAACTATGTTCCCCATTTCCATAGGAGTGATATAGCGAGGATGCCAAACTATGGTCCCCATTTCCATAGGAGTGATATAGCGAGGATGCCAAATTATGTTCCCCATTTCCATAGGTGGGATATAGCGAGGATGCCAAACTATGTTCCCCATTTCCATAGGAGGGATATAGCGAGGATGCCAAACTATGTTCCTCATTTCCATAGGAGTGATATAGTGAGGATGCCAAATTATGTTCCACATTTCCATAGGTGGGATATAGCAAGGATGCCAAACTATGTTCCCCATTTCATAGGAGTGAATAGTGAGGATTCTAAACTATGTTCCCCATTTCCATAGGAGGGATAGGCAGGGCCAAACTATGTTCCCCCCATTTCCAGGATGCCATTCCAAACATGGATGCCAAACTATGTTCCCCATTTCCATAGGAGGGAATAGTGAGGATTCCAAACTATGTTCCCCATTTCCATAGGAGGGAATAGTGAGGATTCCAAACTATGTTCCCCATTTCCATAGGAGGGATATAGTGAGGATGCCAAACTATGTTCCCCATTTCCATAGGAGGGATATAGTGAGGATGCCAAACTATGTTCCCCATTTCCATAGGAGGGATATAGCGAGGATGCCAAACTATGTTCCCCATTTCCATAGGAGGGATATACCAAGGATGCCAAACTATGTTCCCCATTTCCATAGGAGGGATATACCAAGGATGCCAAACTATGTTCCCCATTTCCATAGGAGGGAATAGTGAGGATTCCAAACTATGTTCCCCATTTCCCCAGGAGGGAATAGTGAGGATTCCAAACTATGTTCCCCATTTCCATAGGAGGGAATAGTGAGGATGCCAAACTATGTTCCCCATTTCCATAGGAGGGATATAGCAAGGATGCCAAACTATGTTCCCCATTTCCATAGGAGGGAATAGTGAGGATTCCAAACTATGTTCCCCATTTCCATAGGAGGGATATAGCAAGGATGCCAAACTATGTTCCCCATTTCCATAGGAGGGAATAGTGAGGATTCCAAACTATGTTCCCCATTTCCATAGGAGGGATATAGTGAGGATGCCAAACTATGTTCCCCATTTCCATAGGAGGGATATAGTGAGGATTCCAAACTATGTTCCCCATTTCCATAGGAGGGATATGATTCCATAGGAAACTATGTTCCCCATTTCCAGGATGCCAAACTATGTTCCCCATTTCCATAGGAGGGATATAGCAAGGATGCCAAACTATGTTCCCCATTTCCATAGGAGGGATATAGAGGATGCCAAACTATGTTCCCCATTTCCATAGGAGGGATATAGTGAGGATGCCAAACTATGTTCCCCATTTCCATAGGAGGGATATAGCAAGGATGCCAAACTATGTTCCCCATTTCCATAGGAGGGATATAGCAAGGATTCCAAACTATGTTCCCCATTTCCATAGGAGGGATATAGCAAGGATGCCAAACTATGTTCCCCATTTCCATAGGAGGGATATAGCAAGGATGCCAAACTATGTTCCCCATTTCCATAGGAGGGATATAGCAAGGATGCCAAACTATGTTCCCCATTTCCATAGGAGAGATATAGCAAGGATTCCCAACGAAGGTCCCCATTTCCATAGGAGGGATATAGCAAGGATGCCAAACTATGTTCCCCATTTCCATAGGAGGGATATAGCGAGGATGCCAAACTATGTTCCCCATTTCCATAGGAGGGAATAGTGAGGATGCCAAACTATGTTCCCCATTTCCATAGGAGGGATATAGCAAGGATGCCAAACTATGTTCCCCATTTCCATAGGAGGGAATAGTGAGGATGCCAAACTATGTTGCCCATTTCCATAGGAGGGATATAGCAAGGATGCCAAACTATGTTCCCCATTTCCATAGGAGGGATATAGCAAGGATGCCAAACTATGTTCCCCATTTCCATAGGAGGGATATAGCAAGGATTCCCAACGAAGTTCCCCATTTCCATAGGAGGGATATAGCAAGGATGCCAAACTATGTTCTCCATTTCCATAGGAGGGATATAGCAAGGATGCCAAACAATGATCCCCATTTCCATAGGAGGGATATAGCGAGGATGCCAAACTATGTTCCCCATTTCCATAGGAGGGATATAGCAAGGATTCCCAACGAAGTTCCCCATTTCCATAGGAGGATATAGCAAGGATGCCAAACTATGTTCCCCATTTCCATAGGAGGGATATAGCAAGGATGCCAAACTATGTTCCCCATTTCCATAGGAGGGATATAGCAAGGATGCCAAACTATGTTCCCCATTTCCATAGGAGGGATATAGCAAGGATTCCAAACTATGTTGCCCATTTCCATAGGAGGGATATAGCAAGGACGCCAAACTATGTTCCCCATTTCCATAGGAGGGATATAGCAAGGATGCCAAACTATGTTCCCCATTTCCATAGGAGGGATATACCAAGGATTCCCAACGAAGTTCCCCATTTCCATAGGAGGGAATAGGGAGGATTCGAAACTATGTTCCCCATATCCACAGCAGGGACACAGCAAGGATTCAAACTATGTTCCCCATTTCCACATAGGGATATACTGAGGATTCCAAATTTTGTTCCCTTTGCAAGCAAAGTAGGAAACAATCATGAAAATTGTGGATTTTTCTAAGCACTTATTTTCTAGATTCAGGTCTTCTAACATTGTACACATCGTATACTAACACTATATGCAATCACGTAACACTAAACATTAAAGCTGCAGATGTTTGATCAGCATTTTAGAAGTTGGTGAGTCAAAAATGAAGAACACGGCTTTATTGATGACAACTTCTTGTTTACTGCATAGAGTGATGTTTCGACGCAGATTCTTACACCGTATCTCATATCTTAGCTTGATAACAGTGCGAGAATCTAAATTGAAACTTCGCTCAATGCAATAAACAAGAATTTGCCATCCATAAAGTTGTATGCTTCAAACAATAAAGCCTCATAACCCATAAAGCCATCACACTACTTTTAATTATACATGAAACTGATCTTCGCTAGTCTTAATTCGTGAGTTTTTCCCAGACATTTACAGCAATGCATATCACACAGATTAAATATGAAACTCTCCTTGTACAATCTTCAGAGTACATACATATATACATACTCACTGAGTAGTATCTTCATCATGGCATTAGTTGGGGAAAAATGGGCTTAATGTGACATTCAAGTTTTTTTAATTTACACTCATTTTCACTACTTATCAAAAGCTTAAACTCACTAGTGTAAATGTAGCCACTTATTTCAGTCAACTGTTAGTGAGTGAGTTTTATTCCAGCAATATCACGGCAGGGGGCACCAGAAATGGGGTTCACACATTGTACCCATGTGGGGAATCAGCGTCTTCAGCGTGACGAGCGAATGCTTTAACTACTAGGCTACTCCACTGCCCTGTTCTAAACTAAATTTTGCAAAGTGTTCCGGACTCTTTAAAGGTACTGTTTACACATGAACTGATGTATTGCAAAATAAATAAGTAATGAGTTCAATAAACGATGAAGCTCAGTGAAAATTGGTGAATTCTTAACAAAACTTTACACCAAAATGCAGCTGTTCACATGCATGATATTTGCACATGCTTTCTAGCAATTTGATGCATGATCCTCGTGCAATTCATCAGCATAAGGATTGCAGTTGGTTTCCCCCAAGTTAGTGGAGAAATCAATCTTCGATGTAACCATATATATACATAACATATAGTGAGTGCTTTAAGTGAGTCTAAACTTTTGATGGGTAGTATATATATATAATGAAAGATATAATATAAGATATAATGAAATATTAATTTCTTCAAAACATCAAGAAAACAAAATTACGTGAAAGGCCAAATGTGAGATGATCTCTGACATTCTTCAATTCTGCTGCACCAAATGTCAACCTATGTGTTTATCAGTGATCACTGAGATGATTTGATTTGTTTTTATAGGATTAACGACAACTGACCTTTTGCTTGGAAAGGCACATGATCGTCTTGCACTCCGGCATTCCTGGCCGACATAGAAGGGAAGAGCTGGTGTCGGTATCCATTTGAGTTCTGCTGCTGGCGTCGAAGAAGGTTCTTTTTCTCCAGACTTTTCTCTGAAACGATGGCATACTCATCAGACAGTTTTAAAAGACAAATATATATAGTAATTATGTGGTACATTGATTGAGTAGTATCTTCACCATGTTATTGGTTGGGAAACAATAGGCTTAATATGGCATTCAAGTTTTCTATCTTACATAGTGATATGCGTGCCTGAGTAGGTGTGGCTGATTGTATTATATCGGACTATATGCAAGTTAATGACGCTAACCCACTGAAACACCGAAGATCCGCGAATACCTGACTCAGATATGTTGCCTCTGTTGACCAGCCCTTGTTTATCCCCTGAGTGAGTGAGTGAGTGAGTGAGTGAGTGAGTGAGTGAGTGAGTGAGTGAGTGAGTGAGTGAGTGAGTGAGTGAGTGAGTGAGTGAGTGAGTGAGTGAGTGAGTGAGTGAGTGAGTGAGTGAGTGGGTTTTAGTTTCAGTTTTATGCCGCTTTTATCAATATTCCAGCAATATCACAGTGGGGACACCAGAAATGGGCTTCACACATTGTATAAAGATTTGCCTTGCATTACAGACTGTATACAAAAACTGGGCTTTACTTACCTATTTTATTTAGCTGTGTATACAGATCTGATGTGTCCACAACAATATTGGCAAACCTGGTATCTGTGGCTTCGATAAGGTCCAACAGGACGAAGTCAGTCTGAAAATGCCCAGTAAAAACCTGGTTATATTTAATAAAAAATCACATCTTTTACTAAGACAATAAACTGTGCATCAGAACAAATTGTAACCTATCTTCCCTAAAGTTTATTGGCTCATCATAGATCAGATGTCAGCTTTCTCAAACAATTAACATATTTACGAGTTCAAATCAGAAACTTTGAGGAAATCCCACATATAACAGAAATTCAGCCTAAATGTTTACAATTCATTTGCATACCATAACATTTTTTTGGTATATCGTTTTGTACCAGAACTGGTACTGTTTTCCGATTCACCAATGTACTGGCATGTTCAGGAAAGTTCCCAGGATTCAGTGCACTGTTACTATTGGTTACAGTGAATGCAGTTGTTTTGATCTTCCCAGCAAACAGACTTCAGAGTGAATCACCACATTCACAGTATGAAGTGTCCTGCACCAATAAGTAAGTACTCTCTAACCAACGTAGAGTCCAATCTGTAAGTTTTCTTTTAAAGCAACTGCTTAGACATAAAATGTACTTACCAGTTTACATTTTATAAACATATCGACGACTTCTTACTGTAAGATGTCGGAGGAAGGAGTATGTAATTAAATACATTGTAAAGCTATGTCTTTTCACTGACATTACAACAAAGTAAGTGATCGCGAGTGAGTGAGTTACTTTAATGCCACTTTCAGCAATATTCCAGCAATATCATGGCAGGGGACAGCATAAATGGATCAAACCCGGGTCTTCGGCGTGACGCCCCAACCTTTTTTAACCCCACAGCACCCTTTAGAACTAAGGACTACTGCTGGATCTCTGTTTACTGGATCTTACTGATGAGCATTCCTCTTTGTTAAATTGCAATGCACTAGAGGTGCTCACTGCAGTAAATATGGAAGTAAGATTTAGTGGATCAGCCACCAGATAGTCCTGTGCTGTTTTTCTAAGGTAATTCATTGAAACAGGGTTACCATGTTGCTCTGTATTGTAATGGCCTATGAACATAGATATGGCTTTATCATCGACTTCATGAAAACAACACACTGCTACATACTATCTGCTACTTACAATGGTACTGATATATTTGCGTGAGGGAGTTACAGGGTCTGGTTTGTCTGCCCACATCTGAGCAAGGTGGCGGGCTCCGTAGATGGAATCTGTTGCTGACCATTCCTTGAAAGCTTCTTCCCCATCAAAAAATACCAACTGGACGGTTAAATTTTTTGCCTGCAAGGAGAGAAAAGAAACTTAGTTGAAATAATGAACAATGTAACGTGTACTGTAATTGTACCCTGTAATCACGCACGATCATGTATATCCAAGGTCATCGTCTAGCATGAAGATACCTATACAGGGTGATTCTCACAGTACTATTCTCACAGTACTATTCTCTCAGTACTATTCTCACAGTACTATTCTCTCAGTACTATTCACACAGTACTATTCTCACAGTACTATTCTCTCAGTACTATTCTCACAGTACTATTCTCACAGTACTATTCTCTCAGTACTATTCACACAGTACTATTCTCACAGTACTATTCTCTCAGTACTATTCTCATAGTACTATTCTCTCAGTACTATTCTCATAGTACTATTCTCACAGTACTATTCTCTCAGTACTATTCTCTCAGTACTATTCTCACAGTACTATTCTCTCAGTACTATTCTCATAGTACTATTCTCACAGTACTATTCTCACAGTACTATTCTCTCACACTATTCTCTCAGTACTATTCTCATAGTACTACTGTAAAGTAATCTTCTGTACCCTTTTATCAACCAAGAGTAACTGTCTATCATCAAGGTTCCTGCCAGGGCTATCATTTTACAAGTTTTTATGATAACTATACATCCATGATCATGATAATAATAATATATAGTGAGATATATCCATGCAAATAACCTCATACCTACCTATCGTAGCCGACCCTTATCATGCTTATCATGTAACATTGTTCAGTCTTGTGTGTAACTGTCAGAGAAGACAATCACACTGATTGTTTGCCATGATCTCATGTCAGCCCCAGTTAATATACCATGTATACAGCACAATAAGTATCTTAATACTATTGTATTTTCACTGAGCATTGTGCATGTTGTATGTACAGATACTTGAATGAGGTGTTTCAAGACATGTCTTGGAGATTTGCCTGGAGTCATCCCGAACTTCACTCAACAATAGGTCTACTCATCGTGTTCATGGTGTAGAAAGCCGGAGTCTGTCAACTTACTGAAGCCTGGCATGGTCAACATGGTCAATTGATGATGGGCCATGTTTGTTTCCAGCTGATTACAGGCGGTTCAATAAACAAGAGCTTTCTACATGCCTGGTGAACACAAGAGTTCTTCATGACAGGCAGACAGCACGGGTATTGGTTTTAGACAACTAGTTAAACATGTCACTTAGCTTATCTGGTGATAGGGTCTTACCTGTAATCATTATGAAATGTATGCAGGTGAGATCAGGGTCTTTATATGTATTCAAAATCTATCAATAATATAGCCTAAAGTATGAACGCAATGATTCCCAGGATCCACATAAGCGTAAGAACTGATGATGATGATGATGACGATGATGATGATGATGATGAAAATGATGATAACAGATGACATATGCCCATGAGTATAAAAAACAACATGCAGCTGATTTAACACTAATAACAGAAAGACAGTGTATCATGTTTCTATTTGATGTCCATATAGAGAGCAAAAATAATTAGTAACATTTGATATGCCTTTGATGATGATGATGATGATGAATATTGATGAGAAAACTCAATACATATTTCTAATGAACATTTCCTTAAACGTAATTAACATTAACATATCCTAGAAAAAACCAAGAACAATGGTGATGATGATGATGAATATTGATGAGAAAACACAATACATATTTCTAATGAACATTTCCATAAACGTAATTAACATTAACATATCCTAGAAAAAAACAAGAACAATGGTGATGATGATGATGATGAGTTATTGCATAGAATCAGTTTTCCCATCACATCTATATGAAGTCTCAAGTCATCCTGCCCATGTTGATTATCCCTGAATGTTTGTCTTCTCACCAGAAAGTTCTTCATCCATATTCAACCGTTTTCAAATTTGTACATCTGTTCCATGTCAACAGAATAAACAGTGCTTTCCGTGTCAGTTCATTATGTCAATGTCACCAAAACCTCAGATTTTATTTTTCCACATGTTCATCATGCTCATTTAAAAACTGATCGTGAAGAAAATATTTTCTGAAAGTAATCCCTAATACAATTTTTATCATACTTTAAACTACTGGTAAAGTATAGACATTTTCCAATGCATTCAATATGTCCAAATCATGTCACTAACATTCAGAGATATTTTCTTTTTGCGTTTATCTTATTCCATAATTGTGTTTAAATACTCAAATATGAACCAGTGTGTTACATGTTAACATGGTCTAATCATGACAGTTGATCTGTGCAAGGACTTATAGTCTCAAGTAGCTATGAACAGTGTGCAGCTGTACAATTTCATTAACATGATAGCAGTTAGGGTGTCTGTTTTATAAACGTGATCAACATGATAAAGGGTAGAGGTGTGACGATACAGAAATATCACGATACGATACGTACTGCGATATCTTGGAACGATACGATTCGATTCGATGCATATCACGATATGCTATCTTAAGTTATTTTCTTTCAAAATGTATATTTTGATAGCAAGTAACAGTGTAAATTTTGACATAACCGCCAATTAATAATTTTAAGGTCAACGATACATATCACGATATGAAAAAAAAAGTATCGATATATTTATCGTCAGATAAAGTATCACGATTATCGATACTACAATATATCGTCACAGCTCTAATAAAGGGAGTATAATCTTCTTTCTTCAGCATATGCACAGCTGATTTATATATAGAAAACTTTAAAAATAGTATCATCCCCCTCAAATTCTGTATCAATTTTACTAGATATTGCTTAATGGATCATCATCATCATCATCATCATCAATTTATTTGGCTCCTTCATTCAAAAGAAAGAAATTCCTTCTTTGAGTGGCACTTTAGAAGTTGGGAAGTACAATATAATATATATAATATACTTTATGTATAAAAACTTCTTTTATTTCGTGAATGCAACATTTCGGTATAGATTCTTGCTTGACAACGATACAAGAATCTGTACTGAAACGTTGCACTCACAAAATAAAATAAGTTGTTATCCACAAAGGTTGTCAATATTGAAAGGAATTCCCCTGCAAACTTACACATCTGACATGTTTATTGAGCACCCATCCTGATTAGGAGGCCTATAAAATACAATACTTAAATATGATCTTCTGTCCTACACCGATCAAGTTGATGCAACTGACAATATCTCACATCACAATGATGGTGCACCCACCCTCACAAACAAACATCCTGTCTTTCTTCTTAATACAAATGACAATCATTCACAGAAATTTTAAACATAATAAAAGTATTTATAGAAACTTGATGCTTTTCCTAAAAACATCCGTCCTCAACATTTAGAGAAGTATTTTTCAAAACATTCCTTCCACTTTTTCATGACCAATCAACAGGCAGAAACATTCAGAGAGCAGGTCCTACAAACATCAACAGATCAAGTCTGACCATACTGACTTAACATTTACCATTAGAGGGCAACTTCAATATGCTGGTTCTGACTTGTACGACCTTACACTTTTAACATCAGCTGACGCTGAGTAAGCAAACATCGGCCTACACCAACCGGTGATCAAACTGTCTTCATCTTAAGAGGATTAGCATTTGCTCAACAACGCGGGAGCAGGTGAAAAGTCCTTACTCTTCCTTATTGTAAATATGGTAACTCAATCCTTTTTCAGAATCCTTTTTATAAGGGAAATACTTAAGGATTGCGTGTTTTCTTAATGCATTGTCCTGGTCAATAAGGATAAAAATATACTGAACTTAAAAAGTTAGTGATTATGAATATTTTAGGAATTATTTTGAGACTGGGCACACAATTTCATCCACAAATATTTTCAGGATCCTGATGAGTTTTGTTCAGCATATAATAAATTATGATATGTAATTAATACTAAAATACTTAAAGTCTGTGTGAACAAAACACTCACGACAACAAAAGACATTCATAATAACAAAAAAATACTTTGTTTGATACTCCAGCTTTCCATGGTGAGCAGATCTGCACAACATGAAAACCCTGACCTGTCCTAGAAATCATTAGAAATACTTCCATAATTTGTTTTAATTAACATGATATGGAGTGTAAAGAAATGTTTTGTTTACTTACAGACTCCTTGGCCGGTTCCTTGTGAAATAAACAGGAAAGCTGTTTTGCCAAGTCCAATAATATAGCACATGGAACAGCTGAATCTGTAGCACCAATAAATTCTATCTTCTCATAATACTTGGAGTCAAAATGACAGGCAAGAACAAGTCTCTCTGCAGCACTGGGATTAAATGTAGCAATAATATTGGTAAACTCTTTCGTCCCTTGAGGAGTAGAATCTGTAAATTGGTCCTCTTCTATTGTCCATCCTAATGGGTTTAGGCGATTCTTGATATGCTGAAAGGAAACACACACAATACGTTTAGTTAAAGAAGAAAAATTCATCATTATCGTGAAAATGATTATCAGATTACACAGATTGCAAGTGATTCAAAGGTATTTGATTGGTCGACCAAGCAATTTGTTTTGCATTTCCATAAAGGGCAGCAGTAAGGTCATGCTGACCAGGAGACTAGTAGTTGTGTTTTGATTGGCTAATATAGATATAGTAGGCGGGGCTTGGTTGATTATTTGTGCATAATGATGTCAATGACTTTGTACTGTTGTTCACAATATTCCTGTGTCCATGATTAAATAGAGAATCTGTGAAGGTATGCTGACAGCAGATTTACACCTATGGGGTGTTAATACCACCATAAAACCTGAAAGATATTGAAGTAAATTCTAATTAATCATGATTGTTTAATTTTAATGTTTTATGTAAACTACCATGAATAATGATAACATTATTTTATTAAATCATGAAACTTATGAACATCGAATGGGCAAAAAATACATAAATTGCATGTTTTGAACTCTTAGCTGATCAAAATGATATAAACATGAAAAATAGAAAACTAAAATAAACAGAATAAAGTTACACTGGATTCTAAGTATCTCCATCTTGCTAAAAATCAAACAGTCTGTAATAAAATACTGACAAACAAGCCTAGTTCTCTGACAGCACTGCTTGATCAATACAATTAACTTTAACATTTGACCATCTCAACTGATTTGTGGAATTAGTTGTACAGCAGACAGTATGTAGGGAAGCACCAACCTGTTGCACTTCCTTGTTGGCCTTTGTCCCTGAAACCCGCACTTTCATGAACGGCATCAACTCCTGCTCCTTAAAACTCTTCATATCTGAAAATATCTCCGACAGGACCTGCAGTGCTGAGTCGGTCTGCCATTTTAGTGACCGTCTCTTTCGCTGAAAACACAAGAACCACTGATAAACAACATCATATCACCTAATCCCAATTAATTTGTTGTGTAACGCTGCATTCAGCAATGGTTGGATCTAAATAATCACGACTGGACCAGACAATCCAGTGAGTGACATCATGAAAATCGATCTACACAGCTGGAATAGCATGACATGCAACAACTATGTCCTATAGCCTGACCTCCCTTCATGTCAGCTTATCTTGATGATAAGCATGGGTTGCTGAAGTTCGATACTAACCCGGGTCTTCATACCCAAGTCTCTCATAGACCCTGAAGCAAATATATCCAAGAAATCCCACTAAAGTCTAGAAAATGTGGCAAGACTAGATTTCCACAGCTTCAGGAAATGAAGAAAGCCTCAGGGCATCTTTTTTAATATATGTAATTTTTTTACTATGAGCTGTTTTCCTGTAAAATATGTTCATTTCAGAGACTAGTTGTTAGTCTATTCATACCCCTACATAGCCCTACGTAAACCTCACGGCATGATAGATTATACCTAATTATTTGAAGTAGTACATACGTGTGACAGAAGATGCCACGCTCATATCTGGATATAGCATTATCATAATTAAGACAACTGTCATGACATTGCTGTAATGTATATCATAACCACGAGCACCCCTAGGGCTGGCTAAAAATATTGATAATCAGAAATATCATCAATGGGAAGAATTATTAATGATGATCAATATGAAAATTAAATCATTGGTCGTATCATACATTAACTATTGTGATGAAATATAGTGTTAATTTACTCACAAAGCACAAAACTACAACTTTATTCATGAGTCAGCAAATATACTGATAATCAGAGATATATCCTTGGGGAGAAATATTAATGATGATCAATATGAAAATTAAGACATTGGTCATATCATACATAAACTATTGTGATGAAATATAGTGTTAATTTACTCACAAAGCACTACATCTTTATTCATAAGCTGCGTCACAATCATGCTCAAGAAACTGTATGGTCAGAAATCTATACATAAACATGTCACCACTCGCCAGTGACATAACATATGATTTCTTCTGAAATTTGAGGTATTTTAGCTCAAAGTTACTTTTCCGATATTTATTGATAATCTAATGATATTTAGGAAATGCTGATCAGTTTCTATAATCTATACTAACAGCCAGATCTTATAACCACTACCAACCAAACCTCCAAACTGTTCACTTTCACAAGAACAGGTGTCCTCTAACCATGATATAATTCTAGACACTTGAAATAACTAATCTCTGTTCAGCATCTTTAGTACTTAGCAGTCAGGTCTAGTGGGTGAATAAGTGCAGGCTTCCTTGTGCAAGTCAGCAATATTGCAGCTACATTAAGGCAGCCAATAAATAATTGAATAACAGTCTGGAACACACAAAAGAGTGGTCTGTTGGTCTGAATGTCCAGTCCATTTTGTGCCCGTGGGTGGTTAGGTGAGGATAAACACCACCCAGTACTGTATCCTTGCATAGCTACAGTCTAATGGAACACTCTACCACAAGGTGTAGAAACTACACTGCTGGACTCTTTTGCTACATCAACGTCAATTATGCTGCATTTTTTTCAAGAGCAATACAAACCAATGAACATGACCAATAATATTCACACAGAAATATAGAAGACAAAGTAAGGGTTGTTTAAACTAATATTGTGCATATTTATTAGAGCTGTGACGATATATCATAGTATCGATAATCGTGATACTTTATCTGACGATAAATATATCGATACGTTTTTTCGTATCGTGATATGTATCGTTGACCTTAAAATAGATAATTTTCACTAGCTATTAACGGTTATGTCAAAATTTACACTCACTTGCTTTTAAAAAATGAATTTTTAAAGAAAATAACTGAAGATAGCATATCGTGATATGCATAGAATGGAATCGTATAATTCCAAGACATTGCGATACATATCATATCGTGACATTCCTGTATCGTCACACCTCTAATATATATGCATGTATCTATTCAGATGGAGTGATGACATTTAAAAAAATGGACAATACTATTGATTAGATTATCACAGATTTGGGTTTAAACTAGTATTACAAGTTTAAAAAGTACTAAGCATAATTCATATTTTAAGACTGGGCTGGACATCACACTAAAGATCACCAGCAACCAACTACATAAAAAGCACCGCCATAGACCACAGAACTATTTCACTATTATTCTACTCTAACAAACTGACAAATCAATTTCCGATAGTATAGAACATCAGTTACATATTCCTGCGCAAGGACGAGTCATGTTGGAAGAGGCGTTGTCTGCCATCATGTCTTCCTGTAAAGCTATGTAGTAACAAAGCAAATACCAGCTATTCGCTACTGTCGTTGTTCAAACACAGCATACACGCCATGTATACTGAACATGTTGAACAACCATCAGAGCAGAAAATGTGCTGGCCTAGTTGTACTGCAGTTAGTCTTCATGTCGTGATGTGTTGAGTCACTGTTTATTTTGGGCAATGTTCACAAACCATGTTGACACACCTACCATATTTTCACATGACTGAACAAACTGAAGCAGGTGCCCTTCTTGATATACATTAACATTAACCACATACAGTTTATTATGCTCAGTAAGAGTTTAAACATCAGCATGTATGTCTGGGTGAGTGAGTACGGTTTTACACCGTTTAGCAATGTTCCAGCACTATCACGGCTTGGAACATCAGAAGTGGGCTTTACACATTGCAACCATATTGGGAATTGAACATGGACCTTTGGCATGACAAGCAAATGTTTTAACTACTAGGCTTCCCAACCGCCCCGTATGTCTGTGAGTGCTCATGTTTTAAGATTTAAGGGGTTCCTGGATTCATATTAAATACATTGCAAGTCCTACTTGTTCATATACTCATGGAAACAAATAAGGGAACACATGGAAGTACAATTGTACCTTTATTCTTTTCCAGGTTCTTTTCACAAGGTATGTATTGCACTGTGGGTGAAATTCTGGGAATGAATAAAGGAACACTTGTATTTTCATTTGTTCCTTTATTTGTTTCCATGAGTATATACATTACCCAGCCTAAGTTGACAAACACCTACATTTGGAAGTCTGCATTCTTATACTATACACCATAATATATACATTTTAGCATTTGCTTTCAGAAATGGTGTGTGTACCCCCTACTGGAACCACACGTGTTGAAATTATAATCAACATCTATCAATACAAATCAATACCCAAGCATTATGATTGAACTGCCAAGCAATATTTCATCATCAAGTTCAGGCGTCAAGTGACCCTTACAAGTTACATAAGCAGGAGAAGCATGTGGCAGTTTGAACAATGCTCTTCACACACATTACAGATGCTTGCCATAAATCACCAGGCTGCTGACCCTGTCCACACCTGAGGCTATGCTGTCCACACCCTGAGGCTATACAAACAGCGAATATCAGGCACCCAGCAATGTCATAACGATAAACCAGCAGAAGCTCTCGTAAACTGTGCAGGTGTCTAGTTAAGGAGTAGGCAATGGACCAATATACAGTAACAGTCCACTGTGATAATTAGAAGGTGAAGGACAGTCAGACTATTCATTATTGCCATGGTTACTGTAATCTGTATATTTCACCTGATTAGCATTAATTAGTAAATATTACCTAATCAAAAGGAATATACATGATATACTGCCATCATCAATCAGACTTAATGATGGCATCATAAGATATTTCAAGGGCAAATATTTCTCTCTCAGTAGGAATATACTGAACACACATTTGAATGATACACATTCCCAATGGTACAGTAGGGGTCTATTCTACCATGACTTCAGTAAATACTGGATTGTGATTGGTTAATCAAAGTCATTCAAAGGTATATAATCAAGATTTTCCAACACAGTATGTATTTTTGCAAAATCTTAATAACGCGGTCATGGTAGAATGTAGATAAACGTACTGTGTTGGAAAATCAGAGGTATATAATGAAATAATAATAGCTCTAATTTTTTTAATTTAAAACCTCACGCTACGCGTTCGGTATTAAATCAAATTTAGAGCTATTATAATTTCATTATATACCTGATTTTCCAATACAGTATGTTTATCTCCTAAATACCTAACTCCTTAAAAGAAGCCAAACATGGGGGATTTATCTTGGATTCCATACTAAGTGCCCTTACAGGGAAATTGAGAAAACATTTGTAATTTGTTCAACATGTTGAAAGTTAACAGTCTATTTAAAAGTTTTCTTTCTTAAATTTCACAGGTATTTTTGAACTTATACCACATATACAAAGGTATGAACTCAAGAATGGCGTGAGTACACTTTAACGCCATTTTTAGCAATATTCCAGCAATGTCACGACAGGGGACACCAGAAATGGGGAAGCGAACCTGGGTCCTCAGCGTGACGCGCTGATGATTTAGCCATTAGGCTACCCCACTGGCCCCTTAACAGAGGAAGCCAACAGCCACAGGGTGTGATGGGCAACTGCAAGGATCACAAGGAAGGCAGGGAAATGAGCAATACCTAGTGATAGTTACAGGAACCCTGATATGATACGGTATCATTCATTTATCTGATGATGAAGTACATTCTGTCATTTCTCTGAAACATGTGTTCCTAAGAATGAAGAAGTTAACATGCATAATTTTCTCCCCTAGGGTCAAATATTGGATTTAGATTGTAGCAAGATAAACAGCTGTCCCATTCATTATATATTTAATAGCATATAAGAACATATGGCAGTTATGATAAGCAGCATGTCATAGAGTCTCCCCTAACAGCTACCAGTACAATACAATACACCAAGACTCTCTTAAACCAGTACAATACAATACACCAAGACTCTCTTAAACCAATACAATACAATACACCAAGACTCTCTTAAACCAGCACAATACAATACACCAAGACTCTCTTAAACCAGTACAATACAATACACCAAGACTCTCTTAAACCAGTACAATACAATACACCAAGACTCTCTTAAACCAGTACAATACAATACACCAAGAC